ATGTCAAACACACAAAAAAACACACACGCACACACGCCCCCCCTGTATATATATATATATATATATATATATATATATATATATATATATATATATATACACACACACACACACACACACACACACACACACACACACACACACACACACACACACACACACACACAAACACACCGACAGAGGCTCTGGCAGGCCTTTTGCCACAAATCACCATCAACACTCAACATGTTCCACAAGCCAGTGAGGAGAAAACGCACACAAACACTGGTTCATCGGAAAGGTCGGCTGCTTAAAGTCGTCATGGGCAGCAGTTCAGACAACAGGCCTGACCGGCGCGTGAGTTCGAGGCTGCTGGTTTTCTCCGATCGGAGACAGAGAGAAATGAAAATTGAGCGCCGGTGCTGTCAATCAGGATGACGGACGTGGCCTTTCACAGACTCACGATTGTTTGACAGCTGACCCCCAAGTCGAGCCCTCCCTGCCCACCCTGGACAGCCCGCCCCCCCTGTACACACATGTAGCGAAAGATAATCACAAGCACTCCAGTCTTCTGGATGCACACAAGCCCAAGGGGTTCCAGAGACACAATACCAAAGTCAGCAACTATACAAGTCTGGAGGGGCCCAGAGTGTCTTAACGTAAGATGAAAAACAATGTGTGTGTGTGGGTGTGTGTGTGTGTGTGCTGACTGGGAAAATAGCAGTATGACTTGTTATCTGCGCCTCTTCAGTTTGCCGACTGTTGCCTGCTGTGCCTTTGTGGTGTTGACAACTCAAACACTATACTTGCACATATTAGAAATATTTATATTTAGATTATTATTTCCACGCAGGGACACGGCTTTTTTATTGCTTTGTGATTGTTTTTCGCTTATTTTATTGCACTGCCAAAAACAAAAATTGCTTCTGCATGACGAGTAAAATATGAATGCAGGACAGCAGGGAAGGAGTGAATCAAAGCCTTAGACACTGTCTGTCAGTGTATTTTTTTTTTTTTTTGGTTTCTTTTCTGAAAGCACTCTCAGAACCGAGGCAATATTGATGTAACATGAGAACCATGTCCAAGGGCAGAGAAACCTGCCCCACACTCAGGCCGAACAGAAACCAGTGGCTCAGGACCTTCATCGTGTTATAAGTCATGGCTCAAATACATAATCTCCCGCCATAAAAGATCAAGGTCGGCTTTTCCGCCGTCTGTGAAGAAATGGTGTTATGCAGTGGACTGTCACTGATGGCACTCAAGTAGCTTTTGTAAAGAAAAAAAAAATGTTATCAGCGTGGCTAGCTTTATTAAAACAGCAGTTTCCTGGTGAACATTGTAGAGAATGAGAGAATGTGATTCCTTACCTAGAATCCAAGAATTTGTGAAAGGCTGCCGACATTTTCAGATTCAAGCGAGTTTAAAAGCTTGTCCATATAAACTTAACAAAACAGCTCTGTTGTATAATGAAAGAAGGCGGCTTAATGTACAATGTTCACCCTTCTTGTTATCTCCTGAGAGTCTTACTCTATGCCGGTCTCGACATGTTATAAAGAAAAAATGGGGTTTCCGTTCATTTAATTTGCCACATTTCTGTGTTCTTCATTATATCTCACTTTGAGTATTTATCATTCAGTAACAACTGAGTTTTTTTCTTTTTTTTTTTTTTTTTAAATTTCCAACCAGATGGTCGTCACCAGTAAAGGCCAGCTAATCTAAAATCGATCCGTTTCATGTTTTCTTCACACCGTGCAGCCTGGGTTTCCCATCAGCAGTCTAAGGTTTGTTTTTTCATGCTTCCCGACTATATTCACAGTGAAAGAGAGACTGCAGTTGCTGCTCGCTGTCTCTCTGTGTCACACGACCTCATCTGTCATTTCATTTGATTTGATCAGACAATAGAGGAGATACGGAGCTAATTAATAAACACTATGACAAAATTATCTTTTACCTACCAATGACATCAAAAGAGACCAATTATATGCTAACGTTAGCTGCCCCTTTGGTAAACTGCACCCAATAGATTGAGTCTCAAAATCAATAAACGACTAATGTTAAGTAAAACTGATACGAGGGACAAAATGTCTGATCGGGACGCATCTTGCTCATTCTGCTGTTGGCTCCAATTTGGAGGGCACTTACTCAGAAAACAACAGCAAAGTTTCATCAAAAGTTTGAATGAAATCCTAACCTTGTCTGATTTTTTTTTTCATTTTTTGTTTCTCGCCAAATTTTTGTGTAAAGTGTTACCGCTCACCTATGGATTAAAAAAAAGGGGGGAGAAAAGCTTTGAAACGTAATTTCTAATATGACATTTTGAATGATCTCTAACTAATATTCCTCTTAACAGTTTGAATGTGGGACACACACATTATATATATATATATATATATATTGAACCCATCTGGGAGCTGGTGGGGAAAAAAAGAAGGTGTTTACGAGTACATCCGAGCTTCTGCCTGTCCCGCGTGAGCTCGGAGGAATGATAGCACTTTAATTTGATTCAGAAAAATATTCTCGAGGGGAGCAAAGCTCATTTATGCCACTAATACATCACTTGTTGAAGTGAGGAGAAACATCAATACAGCTAATATAAAAATGATTACAAAGTACCCCTGGTGACATTTTTACCACTTTGCTGAGCACACCACTTATGATATCGAGACGCGCTGAGAGATGCATCAAGATATATAAAATAAAAAAGAGCGAGGGAGAGGAGAGAGGTGTGTTTATTCGCGCCTGTAGCTATGCGAGTAACGCAGGGATCTATGTTTGGAAAAGTTACTCTATCAACTTCTGCTGATTGGATATTTACATACTGTTTACACATTTATGTAGAGCGCGGGTAAAATCCAAACAGACGCGCTCTCTTGCATATGCATGGCATGCAGATTTTGGACCGTGCAAAAGAATCCACAAAGAGAGAACGGGCTGGCCGATGGCTTACAGATGTAGTAGTACTCGTGTCCGGGCCTGAACTCGAAGCCCAGTGAGAAGGGCGTGAAGAGCTGGAACTTCTCTGAGAAGCGCAGGGGCCCGTCCGGACCGCTGGGGCGGTTGCACTCCCAGCGTTTGAAGCCGCGCATCCTGTGCTGGCAGGAAGTGTAGCCTTCGTGGTTGACCATAAACAGGATGTAGCGCTCCATTCGCCCATGGGACGGAGGGCCCTCGTAGAAAGGACAGTAGATGTCTAGATAGTCGTTGATGTTCACCGCCACTCTGTACTCGCCGTGCCAGAACCTGCAAAACAGGAGCAAAACAACAAACTGTGGATTAAAACCTCAGTGATTCAACATGACAAGTGTGTTACCTCCCAAAGATGTGGATGAAGGAATCGTGAGGTTTGCTGAAACAGAATTTGATTGTGTGAAAGACGCAAGAGGAAAGGACTACTTTCCATGAAAAACTATGAATATTGACTCGCTACCTAATACTGGATTCCTGTATGATTGCACAGCAGAAAGAGCCGGGCTGAGTTTCCATCTAATGTAATCACACTGTGTAACGTGAAGACAATTAAATTCCCTGGGGCTGAAATTGATTAAACTAGAATTTGACTGAGTGAGATGTGAGTGTAATTGGATCAAACTTTTTTTTTTTCAAAGTAAAATGCCCAGAGATTAATTTATCTGTAACTTTAAATAAACTCTGCTGATGTTGCATAATTTTGATTTGAAAAAAAGTTTGCAGCTACATGTGGCTCTTTCCTACCATAGCAACTCTTATTAATATTGGTCTTCCACAAGTGAATGACACTAAGACGGCACACAATTTTTGTCATTAGATCACAAATAATATGTGTTAGGTTTTCACTTTAAATAAATATGCAATGATATATATATAAGATTCTCTCTTTTGAAAATATTTGACATTTCTCTTTGCTTAAAAACCTAAAAATAATAAGGAAAAAAGCCTGCAAGTTCTTTGACCATAAAACAGATTTTATATGGCAGGTATTTAAAAATTTTTTTCTAAAAGTTTGACTACACTGCAGCATGCACAGAAACCAACTTAACTTACTAAAGTAAAGGCGTGAGAGCTTTGATTCAAGGGTCTGTTCCCAGTGAGGGAGCTTAAATGAGCTTGGTGGGATGATACTTGAGAGAAGTGGGTAAAGTGATGTTCAAGAGTAGGCCGTTAACATATTTTAATCCAAATCTGCAAAGCCGGGAATAGTAGGTGTTCAGCTATTTCAGCACACACTGATTACTGAGGCTGGCATAAAGAAATGTGTGTAAAAACGAGTAAATAACGACATGCACACAGTATACTATATAACAATGTCATTTCCTTCCTGTATTTTTTCAGCTAGAACAAAGTCAAAGAAAGTCTGATGTAAAATGCTGCTACAGGAACACGTGTGAAGACGCCTGAGCTCTTTGACACCTCCACTCTTTTTGCTTTACATAGCAGAACTTTGAAAATATACGCCTGCATTGTTCCACCTAGACAACAGGCTTCATCTCCGTGCTTCCCTTTGTGCCAGAGCTCCAAGTACGGAAACAAAACTTGAGAAGTAAAAGAAGTGAAACTCCTGCTAACAGATTAAAGTTGTGGATATTAATTATTTTATTACTCTGGCTCACAAATGTTTTCACACCCCTGCAACATATTTAGCAGTTTCTGAGTACAACTGCGTATTTATCGTGTGCAGTGCCAGCTTTTCATATGATTTCCTGCATTTTGATTGGTTGGTTAGGGAAAGACGGAGGGACTGCACCCAGAGCGCCATTCATGCAAGAACCACCGCAGTTTGTGTGACAGACCAACACAAAGAAGCATGTCATTGTTAAGGAGAAGTTCATTTGTATTCATTAGTGAACATACAGCATGATGAAGACCAGGGAACTAAGCAGACCGGTCAGGAATGTAGCTGAGGAGTCGTTTCTGGTCAACGATTTAGGTAAAAATAATGTACCGAGCTTGTACAGTTAACACACTCTTCAGTCTATTATCCAAACACACACAACACATTTTAGATGTTGATTTGAAGATTTTATCTTACTAATCTCTACTCTGTGTTGGTCCGTTTAATAAAACCTAAATAAAAACAATTAGAATTTGTGGATTCAACCCCAACAAAATGCGGAAAATTCAAGGGGCTTGAAAAATGAAATGGAATAAACTCTGTAAAATAAACAGGCCACAATAACATTAGGTATATGTTTTACTACTTATATCAGCAGTATATTGTATTTTTGAGTGTGGAGGTGAGATAAACGCTATTTATGTTGAAACTCGTTTGAAAACGGAAACACATCACCTTCCAAAAGTGAGTTGTTGGAAAAAGCTGTGGGCGAAAAGGATACCTGGTCCTATATCTCTGTATGATATTTTAAGTGTTAACATCACATATGACATTCATCGAGCCGTCGGTGACAACATAGTGAGAGTCAGAATTCGTCTCGGCGGCCATAGAGGTGAACCAGCAGCTTCTTTTTGACAAGGATTTTTTAAAGTTGCCTAAGAAAGTACTACCTTTTTTCCATGCTTTATTTTTTTTGTGTGTGTGTGATGCAGTTTGGGGTTGATAGTCCATTTCAGTCACTGATCTATGCTCAGAGGAATCTGCAGGGATCCTCCAGGGATTAGAGTTGGTCTGAGGAATGAAATGTGTCTTTGAAGTTTGTCCTCTTTCTGAGCTTCACTGATGTCTCCATTGTTTTGACGTGTTGAGTAAGAGGTTGTTTCTGCGGCTGCTCTTCATCTCATGCCGGTTCTCGGGTTTTATTGAAACAACGAGGCGGTGTTTATCGTCAGCGCGGCCTGGTTCTGAACACGACGGTAAGATTTGATCTTTATCTTAGGTCAATTGCATGCATTGGCAAAGGTTTTCAAGGAGAATATGAATGTTTTCGACTAAAAGCCATGAAAATAATGCCTTTGAATTGTGTTTAATTTTTGCACGGAAATACGAGACACATTTGTCAAATATAAATGCTGACAAACTTGCACCGTAGTTCATGGTACCCATGCTGTCAATACTTTGTATAAAACCCATTTGCCAGTACGACAGAACTTTTCTGATTTCACAAGATTGGACGCAGGTTGGTCTTTGACCATTCCTCTCTACACAATCTGTCTATCGTCCAAAGTCTTTGGTCCTTTTTTATGCCCTCTTCCTTCAGTCTGCAGGTGTTCATTATTTATTAAGGTTTATAGACTGTGAAGGCCATGAAAAAAAAGGTGAGTCAGTATCTGGTGAACCTTTTCCATGTTGATTTTGGATCACCAATAATGACCCATTTTCAGTTTTCTGGCAGTCAACAGGCATTTGAAAAAGATCACAGTGCCACACACACACAAACAAGGGTTTCTGGGTCCTCAGCATCACAGATCCTCTGCCGTACTAAACAGCGTCACAATGTGCTTTTCCACATACTTTTCTCTTACAAATCACACCAAACCCCTCTGGATGGTTTGTTGCCAAAAAAATAAATAAAAACCCACGGTCTCATGCCCTCATCACACCATTGTGTGTCTACCTTGCCTTTCACGAGAGTAGGAAGCTAAGCTTTTATTGGTAAATGCTCCAGCATCACCATCCTACACATTTCACACTTTGGCAAATACTAATTTGATCAACAGCTATGCAGTGTTTACACAACTGATATCTTGATATTGTAGCAACGAATCAATAATATTATTTTATGCAGCACTATGAAGAGGTTCTGTCTGTGCTGACCGTGAGTTAATCACCTCAGCATGCAGATGCTTGAAACTGAAAGTGAAACTGACAGGTTGACCAACTTTCTGGTTAATTTCTGACTCAACCAGAAATGAACCAGAAAAAAAGAGGAAGAAAAAGAGAGGACAATTTCACGGCCAGAGCAGCAAACCCCGTTGTGAAGTAGCACAACGTGTTTGATTCCAACACTCATACTCAGAGAGTGAGGGCATCAAAAGCGACAAACATAAAGGAGTGACCGTTAAGGTGGCGGTAGGAGTTTGTCCAATATTGGTGGGTTGAGCCCTTGGGCAAGGCACTTCACCCGCCTTGCCTAATGGTGTTGATTAGAGGGACCAGAGGCACTGATGCATAGGAACCTTGCTTCTGTCAGGACGACTCAACGTAGCGTAAAGCACTTTGGAGTCCTCTGGACTAGACAAAGCTCTCCTCAAGTACAGGCCATTTTACACAAAGTCCTCATCTGACCTAAGCACCCAGTTCACAATCCCAGGAGAGTTTAGTAAACTCCATAAGTTTAAGTTTGTCGTGGCGTCTGTTCCAAACAACTGTTTAGCACATAGACAGCATCTAACTATAGTTGTTATTGAGACGCTGTGTCCCCGAGATGCCGTTCTTTGCTGCCGTTCTCTAACTATGAATACTTCACTGTCTCCCTTGCCATCATAGGAGATGGCAAGGGACATGCTGCCACTGTGTTTGGTGGCAGCATAGCCAAAAGTTATAAGTATCTGTATCACGTCATATTTACAGTGTCACCCAGAAAAAGAGAAAGTCACTGCTTACTTATTAGAGGTTTTTAGAAAGTTATGAAAAAATAGTTAATTTTATTTTCAAGTTCAAGTTTCAAGTTCTTCCTAATTTGTGCAAATTAGGAAGAACTGACCAACTTTGTGTTCTTTTGCCATGAATAACCCTCCACAAAAGTGAAATAACTTTGAAACATTCTTCAGTGCACTATGTAACATCTTGAACAAAGTTTAAATGAATCGGTGTAATATCAAATGTCTCGGCGGACATGCGCACCCCCCTGTTGCAACCGCTTCTCCCGGTGTTTGTCATTATCGCCATCTCTCTCCGTGGCAACAAGATCAATTTAATTTCAAATGTACCACATCAAATGGATTTAAGCTATGGCAGATTATCAAATCCTGTTTCGCGAAGCTCGACAAATTTGAGACGCGGGAAAGCATCTTCAATCAAATGAGCATAAACAAAGACGGGTTTTTTTTTTTTTTCAGGGCAATCTCGCCACCGCAGATGGTCCGTGCACACACACGCAAGATTGAGTTTTTTTTTTTTTTTTTTTTAACAAATTCATCATTTTCCTCCTCACCTTGACAGTAATTGATTGCTTGGAATAAAGACATTTTAGCCTAAGCTCTCTTGGTTAGCGGGATATTTAGCTTTGGGACAAATTATCCCTATAATGGCAGGCCTGTCTCCCTCCCAGAGGGCAAATCAGGAAGTGAGTTAGATGTGAAATGAGCACATTCATGCTTCGGTGCCCTATCAGAGCACAGCCCGCCGCTTCTAAAGGGATCCTTGAGCA